ATGTATGCATGCATGCATGTATGTAAACCTACATGAATCGGATCCTTGGTGAACTTCGAAGCACGGTGCACGTCGCTGTCAGGTTGCCGCCTGGAGGCCGGTGGCACATGAGGATCTGGGGTTTTAGGGCACTTTAGGGCTTAGGATTTAAGGTTTTAGTTTCTTTACAGGTTCCTGTTAAGGCTTCCTTTACTTCCTATATATTGAAGCTGCATAGTTTCAGGGTTCTTTCGAGAGATCCTTTGAGCACGTAGTCTGCAACAGCCGGTGCAGTGCTGGGCTTTGCAACGGGATACTATCACTAACCAGCCAGCCGCAGTGCGGCCTTTATACTAAGGGTTCATCAATTTCAGAGCCATATTAGAACCCCTCAACCCAATCCTAGGTATGTGGCTTGAGGGTTTAGATGTTGGGTTTCTGAATTCTAAGAACAAGCGGCTCAGGGCACGAAGGGTTGTTGGGCGGTAATCGAGATGGGGCTTAGTCCTCTGGACATGCAACAACCGCTGCCAGCTTCAGGCACTGACTTGCGTACATGGGAAGTTAAGATGTAAGCGACCCCCGAAGTAGACCAATAGTAGGATCCTGTGAGTGGAGCACTTAATACCAGGGTTGGAATAGTTACCTGTCGTATTCCTGAGGAACCTTTAACAGACAACATTTTTCAATGCATTTTCAAAACCCCAGTCGAATTATTGAGGCCCCCATGTTAGACCATGATACCTGGCAAGACTGCGGCGGCCAATGACATTGAAAGGCAGCAGCTGATAGACGAAAAGAAAGTCTTCGGCGAGGTTACCGGCTGCACACCAAACGAGGGTCTTCAGTTTGGATGCCTTCCACAAGCATGGCTTGCAATCTTGGTTTCACTTCTTCAGATCTTCCTCTATGCCCCTCTGGCGCTCGTTTCCAGAATCTACTACGAGCGCTGGGTTGGCGCCAGGATTCTCCTGAGGATGTGCTGCCTGGGAATGGAGCCATGGACGGCAAACATTGCTCTAATGATTGGCATGGGGAACTTGTACCACAGCCTCAAGTTGCAGGAGTGCTCAGTCCCGTCCAAACGGCTGCAGGGAAGCCATCAAAGGATCAAGAACTCCTTCATGAGTGACGTGCTTGGCAGTGACTTTATCATGGGCGAAGGAGATTACGATTGCTGGATGCCGTGGTGGATCCGCTGGCTTGGAACGCAGGTGCTTTCACGATTGGCGTTGCTTTACTACCCGAACACTCTCGAACCCGATAAGCTTATCAGATGCGACAAACTTGACTTCGAGGAGATATGTGGAACGACTATAGAACGATTCGGAAAGCAATTTGGTGCCCGTGTAGATCTGTCTGCAGAACGGCACTCGGAGCTTGGGGCCATTCGATTGTGCACTCAAGGTTTGGGAGCATTCGCCTTGCAAAAAAGAGGCTCCTCATATGTGGTGGATTACAGTTCCATGGAAGAAATGCCTGTTAGAGAGGGCTACATGAGGATGGGTGGCTGCATGCGACTGTCTTCGTCTCTGGCCCATGTAGAAGGACTCGACCTTTTCGGCAAGACCTACCTCCCGACGGATCCGGCCTGGGCTGGTGCTCTGCACATTTTCCGGTGCACCTGCGGTGCGGCTCTGATCTTCTATCCCCACACCATCTCATGCCACTACCTTCGCGGCGGCTTCACTGCTACGGTTGTGCGCGAGATGGATCCTGATCATGCGTGGCGAAGGGTTCTGACGCCCTTCACAGTGATGACTCTTCATGTCAACTGGGGAGCCAAGAGCATCATCTCCGGTCCGGGCGCAATCTTTGATCGCCTAGGCCCCTTCTCTCAGTGGCTGCGCGGTAATTTGGGAACCTTCCCCGAGGTACCCGTTCACAAGCACCTGTTTGTGAAGGTCTGCCCTAAACCCTAAACCCTAAACCCTATAAACCCTAAACCCTAAACCGTATAAACCCTAAACCCTAAACCGTATAAACCCTAACCCTCAAGCCCTAAACAGCAACTCAGGTGGTCCACTCAGGAATTATTCAGGTCAGCCTGTCGGCAGTTCCGAATCGAAAGCTTCGCAAGCAACCTGCGGCGAAGAGGGGTGAGGGACCTCAGAAGACAAGAATACGCATATGGATACTGGGGCCTCAAGCTGTATTCGATTTTTGAGACTTTTGCAAAGGAGTACATAGAGCAGTACTGGCCTACCGATGCAAGTGTCACTGCAGACGCCGAACTGCTCTGGTTCTTTGATCAATACAGTCGCCTCTTGCCGGAGATCTGTCGCTACGCTGTGAGTTGGCATATGTCTTCGAGGTTTCCCGTAGTATCACCCGTTGCCTCTGCCGGTAAGTGTGCCATGGCTCTAAAGTTGAGGTGAACACGCTCCTTCTGGCCGTGTCTCCACACAAGAAGAGCTTGTCACATTCTTAGCCTCGCATATCTGGGAGGTGACTGCTGCGCATGAGCACAGCGGCCATGTAGGTGATCTCCTGCGACAGTATGATATGTTCCACACCCATGTGGTTGAAGGGAATCTGGCGAATCTAGGCAGTGATTGATCAGAACATGCGCTGCAGATGTTTGGTTTACATTTCTAAGGAACAACACGTGTAGTCGTTATCTTCGCCTTGATTGGTTATAAACCCGAAGCTTCATGGTGGAGGACAAACGACATTAAGCTCGGGTTGCATGGCTAAGCTTTGCGACTAAACTAGTGATCAGTATTGACGATGTTATCAAGTCCAGCTTAGGAATCTGGAGAGTTTGTTGCCTTCCCTGCCGTCTCGGTTGTCGCTCCTGTTCGCGAGGGCTCTGACGTCGAGGCTATCTTAGGGTGGAATCCAGCCTTTGTGGGTTAAGTGCAGACCAGGGCTCCGTAGTTACCTATAGTCTCTATTGTAGTTCCTTTTTGGGGATACTTTATAAGCTCGTTAATATATATATATATATATATATAATTATATTTGGTTAAACCAAAGAAAGGAACTACAATGGAGACTATAGGTAGGCTTGCAAAGGGTCGGGTATCCAAAATGTCTTTTTGTTTTGTGTCAAAATGTCTTTTTTACGTTTGATTTCAGTCTCGGCTCACACATTTGAATGTCTCGGCCATGTCACGGCCACTGTGAGGCGGCGACGACACAGGACATCATTTCAGGCCTAGTCCAAATTATAAACCCGCTCACACATTGCA